TAAGATAATGTAGGTTTATCGCATATTCTACATGGAGATTTTAGCATATTATTTGCACCCGATTTCCAGTGGAGCGAACATCCTGCCAAGCGGGTGCAGACTCGGCCACAAGTGCTCCCATCCTTTCTAATATGTGGGCAGGTAAGACGATCCATCTATTATATTCTTGCACCTTTCTCATTATAGAATTCGAATTTCAAAATGAAAAAATCCGAATTGAACTTGGGCTTCGTAGTAACAACACTAACCAGCGTGCTGTCAAGCAGGTTTTTGATGATGGTTCTATTCGAGAATTTCCGTCGTTAGCTGAAGCACAGCGTATAACTGGAACTAGCCGGTCAAATATTTGTGAAGTATGTCGAGGTATTCGAAACCATGCTGGAGGTTATCGCTGGGAGTACATAAATACAATAATACATGATAAATATTGAGCTATTTAATTACATACGAAATTTTGATTGTTAATAATCCTAAAAGAATTTTTTATTATTGCAAAAATAACACAAAAATCGGAAATACATGAAGTCTTTATGCGGAAATGTACTTACCTATTGTTTCTTATTTTTTCTTATACACTGTTTTTAGTTGCTGGTTCATCGCTGGAAGAACCCAACACTTTTGCATTATTGCAATTGGAGTCATATCATCTAGTTGCGGGACGTACCCATCACCCGCCAGACGTACTATTGGGCTAGCAAAAAGGCCGATATGTTCTCCATCTCGTACATCCACCGGGACGTACCCATCACCCGCCAGACGTACTATTGGGCTAGGTGGAGACAAGAAGGCAATCATGTAAAACCTGAAAAGAACTATCTTATTACTATATAAATTATCCAGTGTATTACAAATGCCACGTAGAATTGTCACTCGCCTAATACGCGTTATCTGCTATACATAAAAAAGGACTGTACTCCGTAAGGTATAACCGTATTTCAAATATACAACCGACTTCAATAACTTTAATATGAATTGGGACCCACCAGAGCTACTTAAGAATATTATTGACAATTATTTCTTTGCAAATACGTAGTATGACTGGTGCCTTGTTGAATTTCTTGAGTTTAAGAAAAGCGAAGTCCTGGCTGGCCTTCCGAAGGTATCCGTGCATCATTCGTATAAGAGAGGTTTACAATTGATCTTGGAATCAGAACCACCTGAAGATATCTCCTTCGCCATTATGAGACAACTAACACAAAAAATAACGGATAGTGAAGAAGTTAAAATGTTCTAGAAAGCAATAACTACTGAGAAGAAATATAGGGAACAGTTAACTAATATCAGAGCCAGTGCTTCATTCGAAAGTGTAAGTCTCCGTACTTTGCATGTGTTTTTTCGATTACATTGCATTAATTTAGAGACATTTCCTTTTAGGATGTTCTCAAGATTCGCGGGAAAAGATTATTTGAAGAAATTGATGATGTAGCTAAACGAGATGTAAAGAGAGTGGAACTTGGAAATGATAATGAAGATATTAGCACACCCACAAGAATTGGATTTGAAGCTCAAAGTGAAAAAATAGAAAATGAAGAATACGAAGAAGTGGAGATTAACAAGGAACAAATAGCATTTTGGACAGACAACGATAAACAAACTAACAATCAAACAAAAGATCAAAAGTTAGATTTATTCTCGACCCCTCATAAACCGATTCTCACACCATATAAGTTTGGTATTTTATCGTCTAAAGTTATTCCTGGGTTTAAATCCCTTAAAAGTACTCTTAATATAAGATATCCTGAGATAGTAAACGAGATCGAAACTCATGAGGAAGAACAGAAGAGATTAACTAACCTAGGAACAACTCTTAAGGTATGGTTGCGAAAAACTTTATCAGCATCCACTCCAGAAGAGTTATATGGATACCTTGGGGAGCAATTGCAAGGCGAAAACATCACAGACAGAGACAAAAAATTATATGAAATATTCGAATTAACGCTAAAGGAATTTTATTTAATGATCAAATACAATCCAAAATATACTCTCATGAGACACAATTCAGAGAGAAAATTCCTCGTCGAAAGGGTGTCAACACCATTTAAACTCGTCGAATATGTGTTTGGGACTATTACGACGTACTGGATTGAAAAAGAAATTATGTCAACAAAGGCAACAGAGTTCGTAGATGATCCAATTGGTGAGCCAGTATCGAAGAAGGCTGATGCATTGGCCACAGATCTTACATATAATATAGACGTTATGAATATGGAATCATCAGGAGGTCCCTTTCAACAGGACAGAAAACATACTCTCGAGGATTCGGAAAAGATCTCCAATACTGGCGTAAACATTCTCCTTATGAGTCTCCGAAAGTATCTTTGTGCTAGCGTTGAGACCGCCAAGAAACTCAAAACATACAATATTCAAATCGTTGGTATGCAAATTGTTTCTTATATTATATATATATACTGATGTATTGATATTGATATGACAATTTTTGTAGAAGATCGAATTACACTAATGGAAGTATCACTTTACAAGCCACGGATCTGCAAAGAGATTGAAGTCAGAAGTGCCGTCTTTCCATTTGCTTTATCTTCCATAGGAGAATATATGCGTATTTTTGAGCTTATATCATACTATGTGGTATGTTATTCTGTTTTATAATACCCAATCCTATCAAAATAAGTTATTAATTTTTGTGCATATCTAGGATGGACTGCTCAAGCGCCAAGAGGTTATGCAGGAGTTGTCTAAAGAAAGTAATGGAGTAAAGGAGGTAGCTTCAGAAATATTTTCGGATTGGTGGAGTAAGACTTTGTAATAATTTGCTATTTACCAACAATTAAAATGATTGCGTAATAATAAGAGAAAATCCGTTATAATAATGTTAAGCATTTTACGTGATACAAATTTATCTGATTTTATTAGCATATATAATATACATACTGTAAGAAAAAAATAAAATAATTATATGTTATTATACTGTCTATTAGGATTAGTGCGTGCGCTACTGCATAAAAAATATTTTAAAAATACCTTTTTTTTTTCTCTCGGTCATATTCATTCAAAAAAATCGATTAATAATTACCGGATCGGATTCTTTTTTTATTCTTGACAGTGATAAAGCCGGTTGTCCTATCATATGTGTGATCATATTTGGCTAGATTACATAATGGCAAGTAGTGTGTGGGTTAGTAGTGAACTTACCTGCAATCTTGTGCCTATTATTTTACCTTCGGAAGGGTCTATCCAATTCAATTAATCTGATTAGAAGTCATGCCTTAATAATTACTTTGCGCAAATTCTAACTCTCGTGCTAATCTATCCAATGTCAATTTAAGCCCAATTATATATACCTTTTGCTTGTCTTCAGGTTTAACACCATTTTGGAAAACCTTTTTTATCTGAATAAAAATTTGTTATAATAATATCACTCCTTCGTTCGAGACTATAGAATACTCTTTCACTAGTAGCTTATTGGGAAGAGCTAGCTATGTGAGATGTACATTCGTTTTGATATTTCTCTGAAAGCTTTGCCCTTATAGCTCTTTTTTCGGCCACTTCATGAGAAATACCAGCTTTTACCATATTCTTATATACCATAATTTGCCAATGCTTATATGGTAAAGTAGTTATCCTGTCTGTTAATATCCAGCGCTTAGTATCTATGGGGCAGAGGGCCTTCTTCTCAGATTCGACCAGGGATAATATATGATCCTTTGATCGGATACCTACATTCTTTGCATAGAATACTTCCTTACCAAAGAGGCAGTCCCGATATACTAATGTCATGGGATCTGCCTCAGATCGCATAGCCAAATCTTTAGCTTCTTGTTCTGTTAATAATGACTTATCTAACGGATTATCTAGCAAGGACCCTTCTAAAGCCGGCATATATGAATCTGTAGCCATCTCGCCCATACCCTTTTTACTAACCCCTTTATGCTTAGATTTCGTGGTCTTATCAGCTAAAACATAGTGGTAAGACTTGGCACGGATATGTATAGACTCAGTGATTATATTATCAGGGGTCTCGTCCTTAAACTTGCCAATAGTTACATCTCCATTAAGAGCAAAGAGATCTGGTCGTTCAGCCATATCTTTATAGATATCTTCAGTCTCGACTTGGAATATGAAAGA